AGCCCAGAGCCCAGAGCCCAGAGCCCAGAGCCCAGAGCCCAGAGCCCAGAGCCCAGAGCCCAGAGCCCAGAGCCCAGAGCCCAGAGCCCAGAGCCCAGAGCCCAGAGCCCAGAGCCCAGAGCCCAGAGCCCAGAGCCCAGAGCCCAGAGCCCAGAGCCCAGAGCCCAGAGCCCAGAGCCCAGAGCCCAGAGCCCAGAGCCCAGAGCCCAGAGCCCAGAGCCCAGAGCCCAGAGCCCAGAGCCCAGAGCCCAGAGCCCAGAGCCCAGAGCCCAGAGCCCAGAGCCCAGAGCCCAGAGCCCAGAGCCCAGAGCCCAGAGCCCAGAGCCCAGAGCCCAGAGCCCAGAGCCCAGAGCCCAGAGCCCAGAGCCCAGAGCCCAGAGCCCAGAGCCCAGAGCCCAGAGCCCAGAGCCCAGAGCCCAGAGCCCAGAGCCCAGAGCCCAGAGCCCAGAGCCCAGAGCCCAGAGCCCAGAGCCCAGAGCCCAGAGCCCAGAGCCCAGAGCCCAGAGCCCAGAGCCCAGAGCCCAGAGCCCAGAGCCCAGAGCCCAGAGCCCAGAGCCCAGAGCCCAGAGCCCAGAGCCCAGAGCCCAGAGCCCAGAGCCCAGAGCCCAGAGCCCAGAGCCCAGAGCCCAGAGCCCAGAGCCCAGAGCCCAGAGCCCAGAGCCCAGAGCCCAGAGCCCAGAGCCCAGAGCCCAGAGCCCAGAGCCCAGAGCCCAGAGCCCAGAGCCCAGAGCCCAGAGCCCAGAGCCCAGAGCCCAGAGCCCAGAGCCCAGAGCCCAGAGCCCAGAGCCCAGAGCCCAGAGCCCAGAGCCCAGAGCCCAGAGCCCAGAGCCCAGAGCCCAGAGCCCAGAGCCCAGAGCCCAGAGCCCAGAGCCCAGAGCCCAGAGCCCAGAGCCCAGAGCCCAGAGCCCAGAGCCCAGAGCCCAGAGCCCAGAGCCCAGAGCCCAGAGCCCAGAGCCCAGAGCCCAGAGCCCAGAGCCCAGAGCCCAGAGCCCAGAGCCCAGAGCCCAGAGCCCAGAGCCCAGAGCCCAGAGCCCAGAGCCCAGAGCCCAGAGCCCAGAGCCCAGAGCCCAGAGCCCAGAGCCCAGAGCCCAGAGCCCAGAGCCCAGAGCCCAGAGCCCAGAGCCCAGAGCCCAGAGCCCAGAGCCCAGAGCCCAGAGCCCAGAGCCCAGAGCCCAGAGCCCAGAGCCCAGAGCCCAGAGCCCAGAGCCCAGAGCCCAGAGCCCAGAGCCCAGAGCCCAGAGCCCAGAGCCCAGAGCCCAGAGCCCAGAGCCCAGAGCCCAGAGCCCAGAGCCCAGAGCCCAGAGCCCAGAGCCCAGAGCCCAGAGCCCAGAGCCCAGAGCCCAGAGCCCAGAGCCCAGAGCCCAGAGCCCAGAGCCCAGAGCCCAGAGCCCAGAGCCCAGAGCCCAGAGCCCAGAGCCCAGAGCCCAGAGCCCAGAGCCCAGAGCCCAGAGCCCAGAGCCCAGAGCCCAGAGCCCAGAGCCCAGAGCCCAGAGCCCAGAGCCCAGAGCCCAGAGCCCAGAGCCCAGAGCCCAGAGCCCAGAGCCCAGAGCCCAGAGCCCAGAGCCCAGAGCCCAGAGCCCAGAGCCCAGAGCCCAGAGCCCAGAGCCCAGAGCCCAGAGCCCAGAGCCCAGAGCCCAGAGCCCAGAGCCCAGAGCCCAGAGCCCAGAGCCCAGAGCCCAGAGCCCAGAGCCCAGAGCCCAGAGCCCAGAGCCCAGAGCCCAGAGCCCAGAGCCCAGAGCCCAGAGCCCAGAGCCCAGAGCCCAGAGCCCAGAGCCCAGAGCCCAGAGCCCAGAGCCCAGAGCCCAGAGCCCAGAGCCCAGAGCCCAGAGCCCAGAGCCCAGAGCCCAGAGCCCAGAGCCCAGAGCCCAGAGCCCAGAGCCCAGAGCCCAGAGCCCAGAGCCCAGAGCCCAGAGCCCAGAGCCCAGAGCCCAGAGCCCAGAGCCCAGAGCCCAGAGCCCAGAGCCCAGAGCCCAGAGCCCAGAGCCCAGAGCCCAGAGCCCAGAGCCCAGAGCCCAGAGCCCAGAGCCCAGAGCCCAGAGCCCAGAGCCCAGAGCCCAGAGCCCAGAGCCCAGAGCCCAGAGCCCAGAGCCCAGAGCCCAGAGCCCAGAGCCCAGAGCCCAGAGCCCAGAGCCCAGAGCCCAGAGCCCAGAGCCCAGAGCCCAGAGCCCAGAGCCCAGAGCCCAGAGCCCAGAGCCCAGAGCCCAGAGCCCAGAGCCCAGAGCCCAGAGCCCAGAGCCCAGAGCCCAGAGCCCAGAGCCCAGAGCCCAGAGCCCAGAGCCCAGAGCCCAGAGCCCAGAGCCCAGAGCCCAGAGCCCAGAGCCCAGAGCCCAGAGCCCAGAGCCCAGAGCCCAGAGCCCAGAGCCCAGAGCCCAGAGCCCAGAGCCCAGAGCCCAGAGCCCAGAGCCCAGAGCCCAGAGCCCAGAGCCCAGAGCCCAGAGCCCAGAGCCCAGAGCCCAGAGCCCAGAGCCCAGAGCCCAGAGCCCAGAGCCCAGAGCCCAGAGCCCAGAGCCCAGAGCCCAGAGCCCAGAGCCCAGAGCCCAGAGCCCAGAGCCCAGAGCCCAGAGCCCAGAGCCCAGAGCCCAGAGCCCAGAGCCCAGAGCCCAGAGCCCAGAGCCCAGAGCCCAGAGCCCAGAGCCCAGAGCCCAGAGCCCAGAGCCCAGAGCCCAGAGCCCAGAGCCCAGAGCCCAGAGCCCAGAGCCCAGAGCCCAGAGCCCAGAGCCCAGAGCCCAGAGCCCAGAGCCCAGAGCCCAGAGCCCAGAGCCCAGAGCCCAGAGCCCAGAGCCCAGAGCCCAGAGCCCAGAGCCCAGAGCCCAGAGCCCAGAGCCCAGAGCCCAGAGCCCAGAGCCCAGAGCCCAGAGCCCAGAGCCCAGAGCCCAGAGCCCAGAGCCCAGAGCCCAGAGCCCAGAGCCCAGAGCCCAGAGCCCAGAGCCCAGAGCCCAGAGCCCAGAGCCCAGAGCCCAGAGCCCAGAGCCCAGAGCCCAGAGCCCAGAGCCCAGAGCCCAGAGCCCAGAGCCCAGAGCCCAGAGCCCAGAGCCCAGAGCCCAGAGCCCAGAGCCCAGAGCCCAGAGCCCAGAGCCCAGAGCCCAGAGCCCAGAGCCCAGAGCCCAGAGCCCAGAGCCCAGAGCCCAGAGCCCAGAGCCCAGAGCCCAGAGCCCAGAGCCCAGAGCCCAGAGCCCAGAGCCCAGAGCCCAGAGCCCAGAGCCCAGAGCCCAGAGCCCAGAGCCCAGAGCCCAGAGCCCAGAGCCCAGAGCCCAGAGCCCAGAGCCCAGAGCCCAGAGCCCAGAGCCCAGAGCCCAGAGCCCAGAGCCCAGAGCCCAGAGCCCAGAGCCCAGAGCCCAGAGCCCAGAGCCCAGAGCCCAGAGCCCAGAGCCCAGAGCCCAGAGCCCAGAGCCCAGAGCCCAGAGCCCAGAGCCCAGAGCCCAGAGCCCAGAGCCCAGAGCCCAGAGCCCAGA